AAGAATTGAAAACATTTATTAATTATTTTGAATAACAAAATAATTTAGAGTTTAATTTGAAAGATTTAAATATTTTTCAAAAATACTTACAAATTATTAAAACTGAAGAGTTTAATTCAAGGAATCAAAGTACGCTTACTGGGTTTTTTTAATAATTAGATATTTTTTTAATATTATTAAAAAATAATATGATTTTTTTTAATGATATTAAATAATTTTTTTTTAGTATAATGTTTATTTAGCATTTTTTTGATATGATGTTTATATAATGTGTTTCATTTTATATGATATATTTTTATATTATATAATAATATAATCTAATTTAGATTTATACATTGAAGTAGATTCAATAAAGTTTTTGCGTTATGTAAAAAAGAGTGTTATAATTACACGAAATGTATTATAGTTGCATAAAGTTGAATTTTTGTAGTAATATTGCGTAAACTTTAATCTTAAAAATAAATTATATATAAATATTGAATTCGTAAGGATGGGTGGTTGAGGGGCTGAATGGTGGGTAAATTATTTTTTTTTACAAATTTTCGTGAAATTCAAAGCAGTTTTTAATTCTAATAAAAATCTTTTAATATCTATCTAATTTTTATGATTAAATATTTATTTGAAAGAAAAAAAATTTTATTTAATATTATATAATTATATTTATTATTTTTTATGTGATTTTTATTTAATGTTAACTCAAAAATACATAAAAATAATTTTTTTTTAATCACATTAATAAAAATTTTACTAATATATGATTATATAACAAAACTCTTAATATAAGTATACCTCTTTATAATCATACCTTTTAGTGGTCTTGAAGGGTATGATTATAATAGAAGATGACTATAGTATTCAACATATTTATTGTAAAAAAAGAAAAAAAAGTCAATCGGTTTAGAGACACTAATATTAAGATATTTTGGTAGCCAAATAGATGCTCAATGAAGTTGTTTTGAGTGAATAAATAAATTAAAATCAAAAGGTAGTTGTGGTAATTCTTATATGGTTTTTATTGATTTACGTTTTTTTTTGTAGGTATTTCATGTAGTTATTTCATGTTCGTCCTCATCCTCATTCTTATTTTTATTTTCTAAATTTGGATTGTTTAAGTATTGACGAAGTGTCAAGAGTAATATATACTCTCTCTCATTGAATCCTGTTTCTAGACTTTCTGAACTCGAAGTCATATAAAATAGTGTTTGTATCCAGTTTTGACATATCCAGTTATCTTAACGGATATCCGTTAAGACCAGATATCCGAATCAAAATTTTTTCAATTGGACGGTTATCCGGATAAAGCATTTAACCAAACAGATAAATCTGGATAAACTGTTAAATCTTGTGTTATTTCTGTACTATAATGTATTAACTAAATGCAGTTAGGTTACAATTATAGTAATCCAATCAGCAACTAAATATTAAAATTGACCAATACAATTTTTTTTTGGCGTGAAATTTTTAATTTATCACTCGAAGAAAATAAATTTGAACGTGTATATTATCAAAATTCGTTTTACCAACTCATGAATAGATACTATAATATAATAATTGTAGCAGCAAGATGATTGCTTTTTATTAACGACTATCATATGCAATGCTTCTATTATTTTCAATTTTTTTATATATAACGATTAATCAAATACAAAAGAACTATCAGATTATTAGTTTACCATCTTACCATTCATATTTCAAAAAAAATGTCACAATACTAAGGTAGCATTACATCCTTTTTGAATACTCCTTCCCCAGATACACCATCTTAAGAAGATTTCATTCAACCATCAAGGAAAAAGATTAAACATAAGAGGAAAAAAACTAGTTGGATATGGGCCCATTTTATTGAACTTACTGATAACAACGAATCATTTATAATCTGTCAAGTATTAAAAGAAGATGGAACAGCATGTAATGTAAAGCTTAAATATGATGGATCAATGGATAATAGAACTGGTCATTTATGGTCTATTCATAAAATAACTAAAGATGGAAAACAGTCTGAGGTAACAATATTTAGATTAGTAAAATTTATGTTTTATTGATTATTATTTTTGTATCTAATTTATTAATAATTATATATAGGATAAACAATAAAACTTAATGTAATAAAAAAACATCCAGAAAAATGACAAATTAAACTTCGGCAATTTTTAACTAATTGGAATATTAATAATTTACAACCATTTTCAGTTGTTAATAGCACAACATTTCGTATCTTTTGTAATAAATTGGATCCTGCATTTCTAGTACCAGAGGCAAAAATTATAAAAGCAATTATTCACAAAGCATACAATTACACACAACCAAAAATGGTAGAACAAATTACAAATGAAGCAATATCTGTATCATTAACAACAGATTTATGAACTGGCTAAAATAGAAAAGGTTTTATTGAAATCACATATTTATATGTTGATTCAAATTTTATTTTTAAGGAAGTTACTCTTACTATTCAATATGTTCGCTATCCTCATATTGCTATAAATATAGCAGAATGTATCGAAAATATTTTACAACAATGGAAAATTCGTCATCTTATAACAACAATTACTACTGATAATCACAGGTTAAAGCAGCTCCATTGTTCAAAATTAAAATTTCGGGGTTTTTAAAAAATGCTACATTGTATCAGACAATTTTTCACATAATATTTTACAACATTATCTAAATTTCAATTTTGCATTTTTTAGAAAAATGCTACATTGTACTAAACAATTTAGTGTAATTTTTTGCAATATTATATATTCAAATTTTGGTGTTTTGTAATATTATCCATTCAAATCTTGTGCTTTGTAATATTATTTGATTCATAAATTACATGTTTTTTTAGAAAAATGTTATATAATACCAGACAATTTTTGTAAATTGAAATTTATTTTAATAAATGAAAAATTTAAATTTAATAATAAAGTTTTTAATTTTTTAATATAAATTAAAGATTAAATCTTCTATTTAATGGTAAAACTGCCAAATATTCAGTTCGTTTATATTTAAATTTAGCTGGAACAAACCTACCTAATATGTGATGAACTGGAATAATGCTATCAACAGAAGTATTAAAAAATTCTTTTTTCCAAAGTTCTGGATCATTTGTAAAATCATCAGAATCTTCATTAGCAAAGAAAAATCTAATATCTGCAGTTGCCGCAGGTTTATACCACTTCACAAATGCTAGATAATATTTTAATAAACCATTTAAAAGATAAATTATATGTTCGAAATAAAATTGCACTTGGCCAGGATATGTATCTATATCATTATCACGTTGATTTATAAAACACGCTAAAATATAAGAGTTTCTAATATGTCTTTTGGATAATATAGATCTGAAATATTCTACTTCAATGTGTAATCTGCCATATTGTGTAACTTTCCCAGTAACAGCAATGTAATTTTCAAAATCTGGTAAAGAAAAGTCTAGTTGTGGTCGACAGAAGTTATATTCAGTATAAGCACGATTGTAATAGTCAATTAGCAAGTCCAAAAGGTTATTTGATAGTATAATATCTTTTTTATTGGTGGTAAAAAATCTCTAGGATAAATTTTCGCTCCTGTTACTCCACTAGAAACTAACTCTTTAGATATATTCAAAAATGCCTGTAATTCTTTACTTTCAAAAGATTCGCTTTTATCAACAGATTGATCATTTTCTAAATTGAGTATTTGAAATATACTTTGATGATTTAATGGTAACATATTGAATTTTCGTTCAATTTGTGAACTTTGCATCATAAATCGCATAATTTCTGATTCTATTTTTCGTCTACTATTAGGTAAACTTCCTGTATATATAATTGCAGAATTATAATCAATAATTTGAAATGATTTGAAGGTTAAAATAATCGTAAATACTGACCAAGAATTCCATTCATCCGCTCAAATGAAAAACACCAAAATGAGTAAAGAGGTCTATAATCTTTACAACATTCATTTAAATGTAATGAAAGATGTAAATTTGGCGTTATCAAATTCTCTCCATAATTAATTTCGATAAGTCTCAAAAGTTCAATTAAATGATCATGTGCAATATTTAAATTTTCTACTGTTACTATTCTTCGAATTAATATAGAACAAGCCTGACTAAAATGGATTAATATTTTTTGATCTTCCTGATTTAAAAAATTCCAAAGAACAACTCTAGCGTATATTAAAAATAAATTTTCCATTCATTGGCCGTTAAATTAGAAAACCCTTTACCAATATCAATTTTATGTGGAATTCGTCCAATTTCTGATGGTGGGTGGATATTATTCATATGTTTTTGAATTTTTGTTAAATCCTCTAATGTTATTTTACCATGTCCTAACCAAAGTTATTTTACGATAAAAGATGCGATTCCAACAAATAAATTATGCATCAGATCTACAGATAAAAAACGGATTAGATCAAAATAGGATAAATGGAGTATCTCAGACTATCTCACATATGTCTTCTTCACATGCCTTTTTCTAGCTTCATTGTTTTTACATTTTCTCCATTTTAATGCTACTTCCCGATGCTCATTCGCATCCTTAGCAATAAACCATTCATCAATATTATCTATACCACTAAAGTTTCTATTTCTTGCAATTTTAGTGCATTTGTGACAACATACATTGGCTAATATATGGTCACACAATTTTCTGGTGGCTAGTATGCCACAATAACAGGCAATCACTGCACATTTAATTAATCTTCCTGTTGAATGTTCAAAAGTTTGTTCTAATATTATACCATTCCAGAAAATTAGCAATTGATCAACGATTGGTGCTAAATAATGGTTTATCTGGTGTAAACTTACTTTATTAGGACCTGGCATTAATCCTAAAATAAGCATATTTTCAGTATTAAAGCGTAATTTTCTCGGAAGATTACAAATAACTTCATATATAGTACCACTACTATGAACCGTTCTTTTAAACGGTTAGAACCAGTCAACATTGATCATAATACCTAAATGATCATCCGCATGTTCTTTATTGAAAAATTTTTCTTCATCTGATATTTCCTCTTCATTTGCATTATATACCATTCCGCTATTTAAAAAATTCTTCCAAATTTCACCATCATATATATCACATAGTATTTCTCTTTCAACATTTCGATCAGCCCATAATTTAAGATTTTTTTCGAAATCCGGCCTTTGGTACATATGTAGAAGTTGATCTTTTATACTGGCCATTGGATAAATCAATAATGGTGAATTAACAATTTTATTACCTTCTAGTTCTTTTTATTCTGATAAAGGAGTATCGCATTTTCGAAGAGAATGATGGTGATTATTTGAAAATTGTATATGATCACATTTTTTTATTACTTTCTGCTCACGAATTGTATGTTGTTCAATATCATCTATATTATGTAACTTATGACACGAAAAGCATACAGAGAAAGTGACGAATTGATGCTTCAATCCCAATTTCTTTCTTGTAGTATACAAAAAAGTAGGAAAATTTTAAACCGTTCATGATCTAATTCTGTTAAAACATGTTTAACAAATTTAATTAACGTATTGATTGCAATATTTGGTAAACGAAATCTAGTTTGAAATCTTAAAATAAATATGATAATCCAATCTTCGTCAATATTTTGCAAATCATTAAAATTTTCTGGAAAATCATAATTTGGGGGAGAGTAATCTTCGAAAATGTCAGTTTCATCATCATCATCACCATTTTCATCACTATCATCACCATCATTATCATCATTGCTATCATCGCCATTATCATCACCATCGTTACCATCAGAACTATCAGAACTATCAGAACTCGTATAATCATTGATATTATTAATATCATTATTAATTTCTTCATGGTCATCTTCGTTACTACTAAAAACTTCTTGATTTATTTTGTCATATTCCAAAAGAGTATTTTTTCTATTCCATTTTCTCATTTTCGAAGAAAGTATTGCTAAATTGTCCAATTGCGATACATCTTCTTGATATTCGATGGAAAATTCTTTATTAATAAATAAGTGTCGTGATAATTCAATCATCAGATCATTTTCATCTTGTAACGAAATGGATGTATTTGTGGCGTTTATTGAATGTTTGTTTTTAGTTCTTGGGTCAATATAAATTCCTTTACATTTACTAAAAAAACATTTCACTTGATGTTTTGTTCTAGAACGCTTTTTAATATTTAACATATTTCTTGTGATTTTTCAATTTTGTAAAGAAAATAGGAAAATAAAAAATTATGTAAAATTTGTCAAAATTTTTAATTTGATAAAAGAATATAATA